ATGCAATGGAAAGCCACAGAATTTAGAAATTTTTTATTATATACAGGTCCTGTAGTCTTGAGAAACATATTACGTGAAAAAATATATATTCATTTTCTCACTTTACATGTGGCTATTACAATTCTTACACGTAACAATTTTTGTCAAGAAAAATTGATAAATTTTGCAGAAGCTTTACTTAATTATTTTGTTGAATCTTTTGAAATATTATACGGAAAACAATATATATCGCATAATGTACATAATCTGTTACACTTATGTTCAGACGTAAGAATGTACGGTCCTCTAGATAATTTTAGTGCTTTTAAATTTGAAAATTATATGACATTTATTAAGAAAAGATTACGAAAACATGATAAATCATTGCAACAATTATTTAACAGATGTAATGAGATTGAAAACCATAATTCTTTATTGGTAGAACATGATAATATACAGCCATATTCATGTAAATATTTGCACAACAATGGTCCACTACCTGAAAATGTAGATGTTCATTTGCAGTAAAAAGCATTTTCTAAATTCTGTGGCTTTCCATTGCATAACATCTTTCAATGATCTCGGTTTTCTAGCAAAATCTGCAGGTGTAGTGTTTCGAAGTAAAATTAGTAAATGCGATATTTTATTTTTCGATCTTGTATTTAAGCGTACTGAAAGTGGACTTTTCATCCAAAGTAATATCATTTTCTTCATAACTCCTAAACATATCAGGTGCATATAATCTAACGGTGTGTTAGTTAATGGTAAAAATTTTGGAATATTATTTAAAATGGAAAAACTAATTTGAAAATTTTGTACTTTATGATATCAAATGGAAAATTTATTGTTAATTGTAAAAGTTTTGCTAATAATTGCTGCCTATTAAAAAACGGTACATATGTTCTGATTGTAAATGTTATACAAACCAAAGATAAAGAAATTTTTTTGGTTGGGAAAAAATTAAAATATATAATAGACTTATATAAATCGCCATGTCCATCCAGCGATTTTGATATTAAAATAATGACAATATGTAATGATAACGTTTATTCTTGGCCAATGCCAGATGTTCTGTGCAAAGCGTGGAAAATGTCTTATGAAAATGATACAAATACTTTTATAATTTTCCCATTGAATCATGAAATGTAATTTGGTGCGTTACATAATATATATATTTCTATAATAAAATATAATACATATAATACATATAATATATACATATAATATATATAATATAATACATGTTTCTAGTACTATATATCACCTCCTACGTTGTGTATAGTCTTCCATACAGTCCTCCATACAGAAAGATGGATAATAATAAATTTATAATTGCGGAATTTGATGACGGCCTGCAATTGATATCTTCAACATGGTTCAACGGAGATATATTAACAAGTATTTGGCCTAGCCATTTCAAAACAAAATATCGAATTAACAAAGCTATAGTTACAAGAGAGATGCCTCGAGACAAATTAGATTGGGAGGAACTGCCAATAAAAAAAATTTTTGGCATTGCAAGTAAGTATCCAGTAAGCAATTTTTGCGCAGATTGGCGACAGATTCGAGCAGGATCTGTCGACAGATGCATAGACAGATGCATCTGCGTCCCCAATCTGATGTCAGACTGTCGACAGCGTCTGCTGACAAACTCTGACGACAGATCGGCAACAGAGTGTGCGTAGATCCTACTATCATCAGCAGGCTCTGCACGCAATCTGCCGCCAATTTGCAAAGTTTGATAAGCAGATACTGTATGGAATCTGTTGCCTTCCTGTAAAACAGACTCTGCGCAAAATCTTTCTGCGCAGGTTTTGTTATCTGGGTGTATAATATAACAAATTTATATTTGTTATTAGTAATTTTCAAATCCTTTTTTATAATTTTATTTTCAATTATAGATACTTACGAAGAAGGTTTGCAAAAATTAGCGTTAGCGGAAGATACATCAAATGTTGATGATGTTGGTGTAAGTTCGCTCGTCTAGCGAACTAAGAGAAAGAGAAAAAAGAGAAGGCATATGAGAGCCAGAAAATATGTGTCATCCTCTTCTGAAGAAGAAGTATATTCTTATCATGAAAAAGAAAATATTGCAGAAAAAATTCTACCTGCTCTTCCACAGAAACAAAAATTTATTTCGAATGATAAGGAGCTATCGGGTACATCTATACACACGACTAGAAACGTATTATGTGAAAGCACATTATTTAATGCAGTAAACACAAACGGTGAGCATTAAATACAATTTATTAACATTACACGATATTCGTAAGAAAATTAATACTTAATTATTTTTCAGATATTACTAATAACAATAAAATTGTTACAAATAATGACATATGTTTCCAAATAAATCCTGCCTCACATACCGAAGATGAAAATCCATATACTTCAGGTAAGTTCAAAAAATATTTATACTTTTTTTTATAAATATCATATATTAATAAAAAGGCATATACTCGTAAATATATTGTTACAAATTTAGTTAATATATATAATAGTAAACATTAATATGTAATATTAAACACATAGCATTATATATATATATATATACAGGGTGAGGCATTTAACTTGAGACATCCAAATATCTCGAAAAATATGCATTCTACGAAAAAAGTGTTCTAAATCAAATTTGTTCAAAGGGATCTATAAAAAGGAGTAATTGGTGACCTTGAATAGTCATTTGAAGGTCATATGAAGGTCATCGTCAATGTTTTAAATGGAACACCCCATATATTATTACATATTCTTATAGCTCATCTCGAGAGCTTTCTAAAACACTATGGTAAAATATTTTTTTATGAAGAATTTTTCGAGTTATAAGTCTTGAAATTTCTAGCACTTTGACATAAAATACAAAATATTTCGTAAAATATTTATTTTTCGATTATCTTACTATAATAATTTTTGGCACAGAATAATGAGACAAATCAATTGGTTTACAAAACAACAAAACTTTTTAAACAAAATTAAAAACATTTTAACAAAAAAAAATTTTCAAACGAAATTTTTTTATTTTATTTTTTTGATCAATTGATTTGTTTCATTATTCTGTGCAAAAAAAAGTATTAAAGTAAGATAATCGAAAAATGAATATTTTACGAAATATTTTGTATTTTGTCAAAGTGCTGGAAATTTCAAGGCTTATAATTCGAAAAATTTTTTATAAAAAAATATTTTACTATAGTGTGTTAGAAAGCTCTCGAGATGAACTATAAGAATATGTAATAATATACGGGATGTTCCATTTAAAACATTGACGATAACCTTCATATGACTTTCAAATGACTATTCAAGGTCAAACCAATTACTTCTTTTTATAGATTTCTTCGAACCAAACAAATTTGATTTAGAACACTTTTTTCGTAGAATGCATATTTCTCGAGATATTTGGATGTCTCAAGTTAAATGCCTCACCCTGTATATATAT